CACACACACACACACACACACACACACACACACACACACACACACACACACACACACACAGCTCGAGGGTCAAACTATCAGCAGGATAGTAATATGGGTGCTTCAGCGCTTATGCATCGATAACCTTAATTAYCGTAGATAAGATGTGATCATCAGACACGGTGAATATTGCTCTGAACCCTAAAAACATCAAGTCTGTACAATGTATTTTATTGTGAATTGTGTTTGTAACCTTACCTAAGATACTGTTCCCTGTTAGAGACTGGGACTGAGCCTGGAAGTCTTTAATGTCATAGACTTTCCCATCGATTACTGTCCAGAATCCACCATCTTTGTTGTGATTCTCCAGGTCAGCCTTGCGGATAAGTGAAACCTCTTCGTTGTTCTTGGAATTYTGTCCCGTGAAGAACGACCCTGCCAACACAAACAGAGAAGTTAGTTACCTTCAAAACTAAAATACTGTCAAAAATAATGATTACCGTATTTATTCCTGTATAATACGATCTCGTGTATAACACAACCCCCACCCCCCATTTTTTAGCTTAAAAAGCATACTACCTCTAATTTCATGCTGGTGACTCCCATTTGGTCCACCAAGGGCACTATGTGACAACAGCTTTAGAATCAGGGGACCTACGTAAATATTTAAGTTAGTGCTTTAGGATTAGTGCAACTAATATTTAGATTAGTGCTGCCCACCACTGCTCCTCTGTAATAAAGGCATCAGAATCCACTCAGCAATCTCATCCTCTGTGTCTCGCCAGCGCCCCCTCTGGTGAGGAAATGTTTTTCAGGTAGACCAACTTTTTCAGAACACAGGTAGATGGCAGCCATTACAGAGGAACATGTTTGTTGTTGTTCCGGGAGCGGCCCGGTCGCACATTAATGCCATTAGTTCGTTATCATTACTAAGCTGTGGGACTGCCTTTTTTTTCTTTTGTTTTTTCACATCATGTTGCCTGGATCTGTTACTACCTCGCTATGAGGCACGAAGGAGTGTCAGAGGTATGCTCGGTTCAACCACTTTTTACGACATGGTCTCATTTCCGGACTCAGGCATTTTGTGAATGAGGCTGATATTTCAGTTAAAATACATAAGCAAAGATATTGATCCGAGTATAGTACTACCCCCTAACATTATGGATGATTTTATGGGTTTAATTTTTCGTATTGAACTTGAACAAATATGGTATTCATTGTGAAACTTAGGATCTGAAATCTCCTGAATTGGCTCCAGAGTTACTGATTGTGGCGTACCCATAATGCCTGGCCAGGCCAAGTCCTCATTATCATCCCTCTCATGTCCAGGGGCCAAGTGGTTGAAACGGTCCAAGTGCTCCAGGAGTCCAGCCAGCAGAGGGATAGAACCGGTCTCCTGCATCAGTTTAGCATCTATAGTAAGGAGGAGGATGATGGACACCACCAGCTCAGGCAGAAGGACTCCTAATAAACAAATCAACAACAAGGCGTCCATAACCGTCTCACAAGTTTCTCAAAGGTTAACGTGCAAATTATGCTGCAGAAAAACTGAGGAAGGCAGTCTACCAGTGAGATCTCCTTCAATAACACGAGAGACTTCAGCAAAGTGTCTTCGACCGGTGGATGCGATACTCGTTGCCACAGGGAGGATGTCTCCAATGTGAGTGCACAGCAGGGCGATGTACTTTTTTAACAAGGAACCAACACCCAGAAGCTCTGGGTCTGCAGAGAAAACAAAGACTGAAAAACAAGTCTGATGGAGAAAAAAACCCAAAACAAAATAAAAATCTGAACTGTGCCTCACCATATCCATTAACATCCTCTGTGCTGTTAACACCCAGGTACAACTTGCTAACCAGCAGCCTCTGGAAACGCAGGAGCAGATCCAAAGACGCAGAGCGCTCCTTACTGACGTGCTCAGCCTCTAGATAGTTGGAGATACGGCGAGCAACATCCTTTAACCTTGCTATGGTCTGAGAGGCGATGTTCCTGGAGAATTTAAACATGTAACACTGTTAGCAGGTGGTGACAAACGAAGTGTTGCTGAATGCAGAACGTAGATACCTTAAAAGCTGTTGTACAAGCTGCACTAAGGGCAGGCTTTGTTTCCCCGTTGACTCGTAAATGCCTGTGTTGATGAGGTCTTTGTCCAGCATGGTGCGACAACGGTGCATGGAGGAGGCATTGGCTTCCTGCTCATCGATTTCTTTTTCTTTCTGAGCTGCCTCCTTGGCTTCAATGTCCTGTTGTAAAATTGGGGGAAAAAATCAGGAACTCAGAAAAACAGAACAGAACTGAACACAGTATCTTTAACTAACAGTATTTTAAGAATGTTTATTTTATTTAAAAAATTTATAATGGTCAATATGAAATCTATAAAGAAACTTTGCTTTTTATAACAGACAATATACAGAGTCAGGTCCATATCTTTTTGGACACCGACACAAAGTTGTTTTTTTTACCTGTTTACTGAAACATATTCAATTTATAGTTATATAATGTACATGGACATAAAGTCCAGACTTTCAGCTTTCATTTGAGGGTATCCACATTAAACTGTATAAAGGGTTTAGGAGTTCAGTTCCCTAACATGTGCCACCCTGTTTTTTAAGGGACCAAAAGTGATTGGACAATTGACTCAAAGACTATTTCATGAGATGCGAGCAATTCCTTCATTTTGTCATTCTTAATTATAAGCAGATAAAAGGTCTGGAGATGATTTGAGGTGTGGTGCTTGCATTTGGAAGGTTTTGCTGGAAAGAAAACAGTTAATCAATGGAGCTCTCTGTGGTGAACAAACCATCCTTATGCTGCAAAAACAGAAAAAAATACATCTGAGAAACTTCTACAATATTAAGAGTGGCAAAATCTACAGTTTAGTTAATTCAGAGAGAGAGAGCAAGCAAAAAAGCAAGAAAGAAAGACAAAGAAAGAAAGCACGCAAGCAAGCAAGCAAGCAAGCAAGCAAGCAAGCAAGCAAGCAAGCAAGCAAGCAAGC